ATCTGTACCGTGACCTACCGTTGCCTTGGACTCTTGATCCGCCTGTCTCGGTGTTTGACCGGGGCTCATTCGTACGCAAAGAATGGTGTACCGGTCCAGATTCTGAGACGATGTTCTTTGAGCATTCGCCGCCCGTTAGTTTGGATATGGTTGAGATGGTTCTTGGAACCGCTAGTCCTGTCACCAGATGGCGCGAAGCCCATCCTGAAGCAGTCGGGACGGAGAATGATGTTGTTCGGCAAATCAGAAGAAGGATTGAGAAGATCCTCGGTGATGCAGGCGTCGAGAAAGGCAAGGAGATGCTTACGGGTGATATGACTGGTGTCTTGCTGCTTGTTAGGAAGAAGAGTGACTAGGTGATTTTAAGACAGGAATTGACTATGGGATGCGTTGCGTTGATAAACATTACAATCAACTAGCCTAGTTCTCGAGCTGACAATCTTGTTCGCGCAACTTTCATGAATTAATATGCCCTCTCTCTTACTCATCGTATGCATCACGAGGATCATGCTCCTTCCAGAACTTATCGTAATCATCCCAACTCTGCGAAGGGAATGCCAATGGAACCGTAATCGGACCAAATGGAATACCCTTCTTCTCAAACTCATCCAAGCGAGCCTTGGTCCTCTCCTTCGTCTTGTTGACGCTATAAATAGAAATCCTATGGCACGAGCTAGTAACGTGAAGACCCCAGTTCCAAGCCGTTCGGACATCAGGTGGCTGAGTGTTGAGGGAGTTGTCCCAGCAGCGACAGACAATCTCAACCCAACCCTCGACGTCACATGGAAGCTCAAACTCCCAGGTACGCCAGGTCCACTTCCGCTTCTTGGAGAGTTTCTCAAGTGGAACGGTGTACCAGTTGAAGCCACCATCGTTGGAGAGTTCAACTCGCTCGGGCCAACGTCCGCCACCAGAGTAAGCCCAGCCCTTGCAGCGAATTTTGCCATTGTGGATGACAACTTGCTTTGTCCAGGGTGACATGATGGCAGAACTGACGGGCATCTCCTGGATCTGAATACCATCTGTGAGTTTGAAGTTGTGCTTGCCAACCTGCTGAGGGAAGTATAGGTACTCCTGGCTTTGGACAGGCGCTCTTGACGGCTCTTTGATAGCCTTGATGCGGTATAGCCACTTGACGCTGCGTGCGCCAATGTAGCCAAACACCACGATTCGAAGAGGATATCCATGGATTTTGGGGAGTTCTTCACCGTTCATCTCCCAGGCTAGCATAACTTCATTGGCTTTGACCTTGGACCAAGGAACACTGACGAGATAATTCATCGTCTTATCATCCTTGAAGTAGGTATCAGCACCGTAGAACTCCAGGTGCTTAGCGCCATCGATCAAGCCACCACAAGCCTTGATAACCTTCTTGAGGCTGATACCAACGTAGTTGGCAGTGCCAATTGCTCCTTCAGCCCAGGGTGCTTGAGGAACTTCATCACCTTGGCCAGGGTATTTGAGAATCTGTTCAATACGACGAGTTCCAGAACACTGGATTGTGACGTTCTTTGACATACGGGGGAACTTTGACTCGTCCATGAGTTCATCCAGTGTGAAGGATTTAGGGTTTGCGACGAGACCATCCATGAGGAAGCTAAAGTCTTCTTTGTTGATGATGGGAATTCCGCCATGGTTTCTCACAAAGTGAAGGGAATTGGGGGTGAACTCCTTGTCGGTGACTAAGCGCTTAGGCGGCTCGCCATTGTAAGGGAATTGCAAAAGGTGCAGCATATCAGGATGTTTCTCCTTGAGAACAGTAGCCCATGAATCTTCAGGTACGCTGGTGAGTTCACCGCCGATGGCATGATGCCACATCTTCCAGTGCGTACCGGGAAGAACAGGGTTGGTACCCGGAATAGGGCCAAGTTGAAACTCAGGGTTGGGGGGAAATGTCTGTGACGTCAAGATCTTGTGCGCAGCAGCTTTCTTGTCCGGGTAATTCTCCCACTCAACGAAGCTTCACAAGTCAGCTTGGCATGGTACACTTGAGAAGAGTCTTACCCAACCCAACCCTTGCGTTCACGAGTGAAAAGCTTCTTACGGTCACCGACCGACTTGATAGCCTCTTCATCTTTGGTGAGATCTCCAAAGACCTGGGGATTCAGAGCTACAGTCTTTGGTCCGGTTTGGTCCAGCACGGGAAGAACTGCACCGGAGAGACCTTGCTCGATCTTCCATTCATCAGGGCGATTGGTAGTCTTCATGATTGAAAAGTAACAGTAAAATTAGTTTGGGTGTATGCAATTGAGGAGAAGAGGGGAAAGACGGCGAGCTCTGGGTTTAAGTTAACCTACGTTGTACGTGGGCAGAGAGTTCAGCATGCGGGCGTCGCACAAGGTTGTAACCCTACGATCTGCTCAAAACGATCTAGATCGAGTAAGACTACCAGGCCAATGACGAAGCAGACAGTAGTATACCCAAAAGCAGCCACGACGTGAGATCATTGGCTCGATAAGCCGCGCCATGCAAGGAAGGCATTGAGTTCAAGCCATAGGGCCGATTTACCGTTGATGCCCTGAGCGGTGACACTGCTGTCTAATGGTGTTGTCGTGAATGGTTGGTGATTACGCTGTGAAAGTGGGGTCGTTATCAAGAGCTGACAGAGTTGGGATGCATCAGAGATCATCATGACAAAGTGGCTGCTGTACGAGTGCGGGGTCAACTTAATTCAATGGCATCCGGACTTTCCGTGTAAGATTGGGAATGGTCGTGATGCAGGAAGGGGGGATAAGATGAGCTGTGCTGCGTCCGTGAGGACGGTATTCACTTCGCGGTACGATCAATTGCAGCGACAAGACATCATCAAATTAGCCATGGTGAGTGTCAACCACAGCTTGTGATTCTCTTTGAAGGCTTACAAAACCAGTCTCAGAACAATCCCATGTCGACTCTTGCCAATGGTACAAGCAATCCCTCTCGTCTCAGTTATATGCCTAACAATATTTTTAGGGCAACCAAGTGAGAACCCAGGTTCAGTTCAGCAAGTCCGCTACGGAAAAAGCAACGGCGGCCTCATCGTCTTGAGCGACACGCAGACCATCGAAGTACTCGCTCACTTTGCTCGTGAACGTATTCCAGAGAGGTGCCGGTTAATCTGACCAATTTTGCATCATTGGCTGACAGCACATCCAGGAGCGTACATGCAAAGGCCGCCGGAGCCTTTGGCGAATTCGAAGTCCTTGAAGACATCTCCCATCTCACCGACGCAGACTTCCTCACGGGCATCGGCAAGAAGACGAAGTTACTCACACGAATCTCAACCGTCGGTGGCGAGAAAGGCTCCAGCGATACCGTACGTGATGTTCGCGGCTGGGCAACCAAATTCTACACCGAGGAGGGTATCCAGGACTTTGTCTTCAACGATCTGCCCGTGTTCTTCATCCGAGATCCGATCAAGTTTCCGTCCATGAACCGCAGTCACAAGAGACATCCCCAGACGAATGTTCCAGACAATACCATGTTCTGGGATTTTCATCTGAACAATCCCGAGGGTATTCATGCATTGATGCACCTCTTTGGACAGCGTGGTATTCCTGCATCGTTGAGAAACATCAATGGCTTCAGTGTTCACACATATACCCTCAACAAGGCTGTAAGTTCCAGGCTAAGCCATTGAAATTAAGCTGACACGACCTAGGATGGTAGCTATGTCTACGTCAAATGGCACTTCCGGCCCGACGATGGAATCAAGACGATGGATGCAGACACTGCTCAGCGACTAGCAGGCTCAGAGCCAGACTACCACGTCAAAGATCTCTTCAAGGCTATCGAGAAAGGAGATTTCCCATCTTGGGGTGTTTACATCCAGGTTATGCAACCCGATGAGGTCAAAGATGCTCCAATTGATGTTTTCGACGACACGTATACTTGGCCTTTTGAGAAGTATCCTCTGAGACTTGTTGGTCGGATGACTCTTACCAAGAACGTAAGTTTCATAATGCTTGAGGCTCTCATGTTCTGATATATTGCCATAGCTCAACAATTACTTCCAAGACTTGGAGCAGGCGTGTTTTTCGCCTTCAAACATGGTGCCTGGCATTGGACCATCTGCGGATCCTGGTATATAGACCCCTCCACGTTTACATCCAGAGACTAACTCGAGACAAGTACTGCAAGCAAGAATGTTTAGCTACCCAGATGCTCATCGCTACAGGCAAGTAAATTGACTTTTCTCATTATATCAAGTCTAATGATGACCAGAGTCGGACCCAACTACTTCCAACTGCCCTGCAACAAACCCATCAACAAGGTCTACGCCCCATACGTCCGCGACGGCCCAGGCACGATTAATGGCAACTACGGGGGCGACCCGGACTATGTCGGCTCAGAGCTTCGCCCCGTCAGTACGAGCAAACGAGTTCAAGTGCCTACACACGAGGACTGGTCTGGCCATGTTACCGCTTTCGCAACATCAATCACGGACAAAGACTTTGAGCAGCCCAGAGCACTCTGGAAAATCATCTGCAAAGAGCCAAAGGGCAAAGAACAGTTCTTGCACAATATTCTTCCGACGTTGAGCGATATTCCTGACAAAATGAAGGATCAGGTTGTTGGTGAGTTCTACGCAACGGGATAAGTGCTGATTTATCTTATGCTAATTCTTCACAGAATATTTCGGTCGTGTTGATGGGGATCTCAAGGCTTGTTTAAAAGAAGGTCTATCCAAGTAAAATCGCCCATTTGTGTTCGGTCGCCGTATCAAGTATAAGTTATTAGTCGAATGACTCAATTGACATAATTCTTCCTATTGCTGGGCTTTGATGTGAACAACCTCAAGGTTCTGTTTAGGGCGCGTAAATCGTTTTGGGGTGGGATTTTCAGGGACCAGGGGGTGCTGGATAGCCCCACTAATATGGCGGTGCCGATCACTGTAATCAGGGCTGAGTCTTGTTGGGTTGTTTCACATCGAACCAACAACATAAGAGCATTGACTGCACTTCCTCAATCCTCCTCTTTCATCTTAATCGTGAAAAGGTGCCACAGCTTTGACTTGGAAAATGGCGCCCATTTCGTTTCTCGACTGCCCCCAAGAAGTACAGCTCCACGTCGCCGAATTTGTGTCCCAAGGCGACCTGGCTAGGCTCTCCATGACCTGTCGCGCCCTGCACAGCCTCACCGAGCCTCTGATCTATTCCTCTGTCAAGTTTGAATGGACGAGGGAGTTCCACCCGCCCGTCACTCAATTACTCCAGTTACTCCGAACGCTGTTGGAAAGACCGGACTTGTGCCCTTTGATACGCCATGCCGACTTTGAAGGTAATGGCTTCATCAACGAGATAGGCTCGTATCGCTCAGATTGGACAGAAGAGACTCCCGATCCGCCACCTGCCATCCCAGAGGTTCCCAAGAGCGAACTTTCCGTGGCCATAAGGAGCACAGGTGTTTCCAAGTCGACTGCCGAACAATGGCATACAAAAGTCCAATCGGGATCTCCTGAAGCTTCGGTCGCGGTTCTTGTTTCTCTTCTACCAAATCTAGAACGGCTTTGTCTGTCCTCCAATTGGACAAACGACACGCATTTCCTGGGGAGCATGTTTCGGGCTGCTCTATGTGAAAAGCTTCAGCATGTGACAAAGGCAGGACTACCCTCTTTTTCTTCGTTGAAGCGCGTATCATTCGCACCAATGTTTGACGAAGAACGCCATCTCGATCCAAGTAATACAGCAGATGCCCTGGCGTTGTTCTACCTGCCCAATATTGAGAATCTCTCAGTATCGATTGACAATCCCATCAACTTCACTTGGCCCTCGTCACCACCAGAGCCAAGATCGCTAGAGTCTCTCGAGATCTTTCGGCTACGAGAAAGTCGCCTGGCACCAGTTTTAGCAGCAACGACGAACTTGAAGAAGCTTCGATACAACTGGATGTACCGTCCAGACCTCGACAAGGAGGTCAGTAAACATGTTGTGATGTTGGACGTGATGTCAGAAGCCCTCCTTGAGACTAAAGACTCGCTTGAGGAGCTTGAAATCACCGCAGAGACTTTTCCCGCACTATCGCATGGGGAGTACGAGCCGCCAGGCATCGCCTTCCACGGATCAATCGCTCGACTTCGTGAGATGCACAAGATCGAGACTCTTCATATACCTTGGACATTTCTCACTGGAAATAAAGGATTTTCTACTGGTCCTGGTCTTATCGGGGCTGCAGTTCCGCCCAATGTTGAAGATTTGGCATTGGATGGTTTCTTTATGTGGTCTGAGGATGATGACTATGAAGAGGATCCAGATGAACTGATGGTCGAAGGCTTTGCAGAAGAACTCGAGAGCGGCGCTTTGTTACATGTAAAATCACTGAAGAGCGTTTGCCTACCGGGATCCTTGTATATCGGTGGGTTGTCAGACATCTGCGAGAACAAGATGAGAGCCCTTGGGGATCGATTTGGGTTGGCATTGAGCTACGATGAGAGAAAAGAGTGAAAGTACATTATCTCATAGCCTGTATCTTCTGATTAAATCTCGCGTCATTCAATTATTTTTATTCCTCGCAGTGTCATGGTGAACAACACGAATCTTGATCTTTATGCTATTATAGAACACTACATGTACTTGAAACTACACGAACGAAGACAATAGGAGACTGAGCGCCTACTACTCATCCCAAATAATATTGTTCCTTGTACACATCTGTATCTGGCCTTTCTTCTTCACACCTCCAGCAATCTTACGAAGCGAAAATGGCATAGCCTTCTCTTCTTGCCTCATATAATGCACGTCTTGGTCGCGTACCAGTAAGTTACATCCCCAGAATTCCTGGCATCTCGTTAGTAAATCGATGATCTCACAGATAATGCAATCATCCTGTACCAACCTTTTCATCTTCTCCGTTTTCATCGGTGCCACAGGGGGCCAAGATAGTGTAGCCTTGCCTTCCTTTGACAACAGTCGTGACACGGACTTTTGGATTAACCTCCGGAATAGACGTCGTGTGTGTCATACAATACTGATGGAATGCATTGACTTCGCCACACTTGGCCTTGTTTTTATGGCCGGCGGCAGGGTTCGCATTACTCTCTGGGTCATTGACAACACGGTCTCGCCAAAGAGCACTGCAGCGATCAAGAGCCAGTTTAACCGGGCTAGCAGGCCACTGATTAAGAAAGCCATCCAGTCCCTTCTGAGAAGAAGAAAAGATAATCTCGTTTCCAAAAGCCACGATAGTCATAACCGAAGGAAGGTATGTTGGCTTGGTGCTCCCTTTGCCGGCAAAGACTGTAGGCTTATATTGTTGCATATCCTTTTCCATCTCTCTATGTGCAACCTGGGCCATCTGCCTTAGCTGACCGTCTGTGATGGAAGCGACAGGTTCATTAAAGACGAGATAGGAGGAAAAGAGATATCGGTGCTGATTTTCTCTCCTCCTGCTTTCCGTTACGCCCGGGATTGGCTGAGTCGCTAGACCATAGTCAAGCCGGACTTTGAGTTGCCCTTGTGGTGGGTGCTTGACGCTGAGGTCAATAGCATCGAGAAATTGACTGAAGAGGAGAAGTATGCACAATAAAGAAATGTAGAAAGTACCCAACAGCGGTGCCATGATGCCAGGAGTTGAACGTATGCTCAGAACTGTGTATAGAGTTCAACGAGATAGAGCCTGGACGAAACTCATACAGATAAACGACACAGGGCATATAACATAGCCTCTACATGATCCTGGCTCACTGGGACTGGAACCTCTCCAGGTATCAACGAATAGCACCCAACAGCCATACCTGCGCCTTTCGGACAGCGGCTAAGCCGGAAGGCAGACACGATGATCATGGTACCATAAGATTGTTTAAAATTAAAGGCCCATATTCTGATTCCTACCAAACAACTGCCGAAGCTGATACTCGCCGAATTAAGAGTACAGCCCCCATCTACCAACTCTGTTACAAGTCAACTACGCGCCGTGATAGAAACATGGAAACCCAGTTGGCCGTGCGTCCAATCGGAGGTCAACTAGCCGACCATGTAATGTGGATGTTGATACGAGCTTCTTGCTAGAACCAACAACAAGACGCTAACAAGGGGTCATGAAACACAGTTGTTGGTTCGACTTACCATTTCGACAGTGGCTTTTCTATAATTAACGGGCCGTGCTGCGACTCATGCATGATGATCCTTTCGAGTCAGGAAATCCCCGACTAATTTTATCCCTTATCTGTTGGTTCCCCCCGGTAAAATTCATTTACATGTCACTACGTGGGTCAAATGCGAACTGAGCTTCTCGGCGAGACTGGATCATGAGGCGATAACTAAATCACGCAGGACTGTGGGGGCCTTGCTGAGTGGCCTGGGCGAAGTGCAGATATTGAAACTGGCATTGGGGGCCAAGAGGAAGAAATAGACAACCCTGCAAGGCTGACCATCGGTTTGCTAACAATAGTTCCATTGACACACATATGAAAATCGCCAAGTATCTGTATTTACCGAAAGAGAGTAACACGTTCTATCCGCTTGTAAATTGTATCATCATGCAGCGTCTAAGCTATGCTTTGGCACTATTCGCTGCTGCTGGCTCAGCAGTAGCCCGTCCTTCTTCTGTTGACTTTGGATCTATGTCCATGAATAACATCTTTGGTAGAGAAACGACCGACTTCTTCAATCCGGATGACTTGACGTTCATCAAGAAGCTCGCAGCTGTCGGGGACTCATACTCAGCTGGTATTGGAGCTGGCGATGGCTTACACGGCGAAGGCGGTAAGTTTACATTTTTGGGTTGTTGCAGCGAAATTTAACGTGTTACAGATGAAAACTGCCGTCGATATGATCATTCTTACCCATATCTCATCAATCAAGATGAGAGACTGGGCGATGCAGCCAACAGGAAGTTTCAATTCAAGTCTTGCTCTGGTGCGGTTATCAAGAACGTGATTGAGGATCAGCTTCCTTCAATAGACTCTGATCAGCAAATCATTCTCTTATCTGCAGGTAAGACTTATAGGTAATCATTTGAGGCGCTAACATCCACCAACAATGTTCTAGGTGGCAACGATGCCGAGCTTGTCAATATCCTGAACCAATGTGTCTATCAATGGTTTGCTTTGAACGACCAGCACTCTACTGTAGGTAAGGTTGCAGAGATGAAAGGTGAGCCCTGGGCGAAGGGATGGGATTGGGATGCTGCGTCTCGAGGCTGCCTAGGTCAACTCCAATATTCCAAGAACATCATAAACAACGATGAGTTCTCCAAAAGGATCGACTCGATGATCGAGGCTACGAAGAAGAAACTCTCGTCAGAGTAAGCTCTACCCCGGCGCACTCTCTGGATATCTACTGATATTATCTTTCTGTGTAGCGGCATGATATACTACACGGGGTATGATAGCGCTTGATAGAGAATCATTCTCCTTCCGCTAATCCTAGTTATAGGTATGCCAAATTTTGGAGCACTGACTATGGGTCTGCTTGCGACAAAGTGTCATGGTCAACCTGGATATTTGTAAGTAAACCGAATTAGCAGTTTGTGAGTTTTTCTGACATTTCACCCAAAGAAATCGTATAATATTTGGCAGCCTGCTGCTCGTCTTGAAGAGTTGCGCCGAAGAGAGATGAACAGGCTCGTTGATCTCATAAACGACAAAATTGTAAGTGCAGACAGACACCCAGGAGGTTGGTAGGTTAACTCGACTTTCAGGAAGCTGCGGTCAAGAAAGCCGGCGACAAGGTGACATTTATCAACTACGACGAGTATGTCGGCCACTTCAAAGGCCGATACTGCGAAGAGGGCGTTGACGAATCGGTGGTTGACAGCAACACAAGGTAAGCTTTAACATTCTGGACGATTGACTCATACCGCTAATTAGCTCTCCCAGACCGGAGCTGATGTTCTATGAGCTCGATACTTTTGACCCGTGGGGTAATAGGCCGTGGAAACGCAGTACAGTCGAGCACACGAACGGTTCATTTTCAGGTGACATGAACACGATGGCCCGAGCAGCTGAGTTTGTCGCGCCGGATGTGACATTCAGGCAGGAACACAAGATTGAAGATGATTCTGAGACCCAGGGTCTCCAGGCGGCAGCTAAAGAGGGTGCTACTGAAGATGTGCCGAATCTTTTACCTGACGGGTAAGTAACAGCAACCAAGCCTTTTTCAACGCTAATCCCCTCGATCTTTTAGTTACGGCCGTGTCTTCCATCCCCAGATCCTGTTGCATGAGCTCATTGCCAACCTTGTTCTATTCGAGGTGTCCAATCGCCGAATGGAGGAGAACAATATGACACCGGAACCTCTTCTGGATACATCTGTAGCGCAGTGCCCAATCAATCCTTCTGGTAACATTGTCCTGAAGTACAAGGAGACTAAGCCGGGAGAGGCAGTCAAGAAGGGCACCGAGCTGAGGATTCTGCCGGTCGGTGACTCTATCACAGTAGGTTATTTGAGCGACAGGAAGGGAGGTGACGGGAATGGCTACCGGGGGCAATTGAAGAAGGATCTTTCTGGTAAGAATACATGAAGGTAAGGCAGACATTGCTATTTGCTAACGTCATCCAGGTGACAAGGTCGTCTTTGCTGGTACAGAGTCATCAGGTACAATGTCCGGCGGAAACTATGTATGTACACCGGCTCACTACGGACAGTTAACTGACTCCAGATAGGCAGCATGGTCGGGAAAGACCATCCAGTATATCTCGGACCATGTCGACCCTTCGCTCAAACAACAACCCAACATCATCCTTCTGGCAGCTGGAACCAATGATATGAACCCTAATCGTGGCATCTCGAAGGAGGGCAATGATCCCAAGGGCGCTGCTAACCGACTTGGTAAGCTCATTGACAAGATGGTTAAAGCATGCCCCTACGCAACCATTTTGGTAGCCATGATCATCAACACATGTGATGAGAAGCAATCCCTAGCCACAAAGGAGTTCCAGAAGCTCGTCCCCGGCGTTGTCAAGTCGCGTCATGACGACGGTAAGCACGTCTTGGCCGTGGACTTCACAACCTTCAAGACGAGTGATCTCCAAGACTGCATCCACCCTACCAACGACGGATACAAGCTTATGGGTGACTATTGGTACAGCTTCATCCACCAGATTCCCAGCAGTTGGATCAAGAAGCCAGTTGGACCAGACCCCAACGGTGGTGATGGAACTAACGGCGGTATTGACAAGAATATTCCTGCTCCGGACTGGGGAAAGAGCCCTATTCAGGTTACTTCGAAGAAGACAGTGGCAGATGCAGCCAAGTATGCAACTGGTGGAAAGGACAAGTGCGTTATTTGTAACGGCAATCCTTGGTACAAGGGTACTGGAAAGATTGCGCAAGGTGGCGTTGGTAAGAATGGGGATTGGAAGTATCACAAGGACTGGAAAGCAGAGGGTGAAGTTGCTGAAGGACTTGGCTTGGACAAACAGTATGTCAGATTGCACGACATGAATGGCGATGGCAAAGCGGGTAAGCGTTGAACATTTACCTGACCACTATCTGGAGCCCCA